TTGAGTAACGCTAAGTAATTTTAGACTCACGCATTTCCTCGTCCGTACCCTTGTTTGCACATTATCTTCCTGTAATAATCTATCGCTCTTATCGGATAAAGCTATTCCTCAGGCAGATTCAGGTATATTTATAAAATATCCTTTGTTCACATACAAGTTTAATATTCTTTCCAAGAAGGGCGCAGACTACCCCTCTATTCGTAGATGAAGATAGGGATCGATATTAGAGATCTAATAAGTAAATAACGTTAAGCCTTTTCCATTACTACGTAGGTGTTTGCTATCCTCTTCGTTTCCCCAAACACGATATCAGTTAATCTGTAACTAGATAGAAAGCATCTTATCTTCTGGATCAGGTCCTTCCAATTACTGATCACGTTTGTAACCCAGATCTTTATACTTTTCTCTTTTCACATATACACGCGTAACTCACCCTCAGTGTACTAAAACCTTTTATCTTTTTAGGCCCAAGTTACTGGATAATTCGATTTGGAACAAATTTGTTTGAGAAATTATAGGAAAACGATTACCGAGGAGAAATGTGTGAAAATTTCAATGCAACTAGAAGAATAAGTATTTCTCGAAATATCTCATCCATTTTGGAATTTGGTAAGTTCCAGAACAATAATTAAACGAAATACTTTCAACCACAGTTTCATATATTTTCGCAGCTATTTGAATTTCTTCACCAAAGTTTCAAAATGGCAGAGGTCTTTCAGTAAATGACAATACTATACGGCTGACCTTTGCACATCAAATATTGTATTCCACGCAATCACGATATCGCTTTAATAAGGTTTGAAACATGTACTTTTTTATTTCATCGCAATTAACCACTTTAACCCTCCGTGCATCGTTATACCATTGTAACGTACCGCTTTCCTGCTTTCAGATCTGCTTTTAAACCTTTTGTCAACGATACGATCTAATCCCGTTGGCAATACGATGCTTCGTTTGTAACCGGAACGCACGAGGCTTTATAAACATGGTGAATCGTGAAAAATTCAAAGAGGAGCTTTTTACGATGTTTAAAACGGTACAAGGGATCTGGAACGACGCGAATAATCTTTGACGACAAATTTACGAAGAAAGATTAAATCGATGAAAAAAAGAAATGGTAGAAGAAGAAAAGACAAGATCTCAAAGGGAGGGGTGGAAAAAGCGGGGAAATTTAATGGAGATAAATCTTAGCGAACTGGAACGGTCAAAAGAGACGAGGAATTGTGTAAGAAGAAACTTTTCCTGGAGACCAGATGAGTCGTTGTATAGATGGAAGACCATGGGCGACAAAGGGTGGAACAAGAAAATGTTATAGCGGCTGTAACTTGGTGTATCGCGCGATAAAAAGTAATTTGTTGGCAAGATTAATCGTGCACGTTGCTTGCTTGCACGTAATGACTATATATGACCGTAATGACTATATATAATTATAGTGGATGTAGTCTAAAAGTGCATTGATTTTATGCTGCTATATTTTTATGAAAAAGTTTATCAAATTGACAATGAGAACTACCTACCTACCATGAGAAATTGAGTTTATGCTGCGATATTAGAAGCAAAAGATAAAAAGTAAATTTATAAATTAACTCTTAATAGCTACCAGGGATGAAATATTTCGTACGCATTTTATTTTAATCTTATTAAAAGAATGTAATCACTGGCAATCCAATTTTATGGATATTTATTGACATTATAAGTGATTAACATTGATAACATTATCAAAAGATAGATGGATTCTCTCTTGTACTTTGCTATAAACATAACAGAATATATTAACTGGAAGCGATATTTATGAGAGCTTTTAAGATTTAATATAATAATATATTAAATATATATCGTAATATGATACTGCCATATTTACAAGAATTTATTTACAAAAAGTAACACGTATAACATTTTATGTACCATATTTGCAACTTTGTGGTAAGACTTCTAAAAGTGTTATAGATTACATAGTCAAAAACTTAGTTGTTATTCAGTAAAATCAACCCTGTAAACATATCCGAGAAGCTTACGCTAAGTCTTCCATGATTTCTACGTATACTTTGTTAGGTAGAATACTTTGCAAATAAAAACTGAAAAGTTCAAGAACAGCTGGTTTCTTTCCCAAGAATCTCCCAGACTTTGCCAGCGAATCTTTATTTTCCTCAAAGCAAAGTTCCTCGAAAACAACATAGATACGTGTATTAGAGAAATTCTCACTGATAGATTCAACGTTTGAAAAGTAACGTGAAATCGAGGAAAGCAAATGGACAAGGGGAATCTTCAAAGGTAACGCTATGAATCGTGAGAAGACGTTCTCTTCTCGGAAACATGCATTCGTAGCGAGATGTATTTATTCTAAAACGCGGCGTTTCGATCTTGTAATCGCGCAGCTACGATTAATTCTGTTGCAACAGGCATTTTTCTAACACAGTACTCGGGTGCTAAGAAAATTGCCCCACGTGGCCGCCGTCGTTTCCACCGAGTAGCAACCTTCTTGTAATCGTATTCAGCTGGTATGGGATTCCTGAAATGCGTAATTATCGTATCGAGTGGCGCGCCAGCGAAAGCGAGCAACGACCGTGTGCTTGAAATTCTCCGGAACGCGACCGGGAGCCGAGACAATTATTATTATTATAATCATTACCCACTTTGTTACGTGCCGTGAACAACGAAACACGAAAAGAACAGGAAAATAGCGTAATAATTGCATAAAAGGCAAAATCCGGTTTTTGGGTTGCAATGTGATTTAACCAATAACCTAACCTAACCTCAAAAAGTAGCTACATTAGAAAAATCGAATTGATGGAAAGTTGAATAATGAAAGTATATCATAACTTCCATCAATGTCGAACCGAAGAAAACTTGACCAAAAATGTAAAATAACCTTAAAAAGTAGCTCAAACAAACAAGTCGAATGGAAATGTCGAAATGCCGAAGAGAAAGTATAGAAATGAACGAATATTACCTATTCTAATTAGCACGAATTAGAATAAAATATTCAAGAGGTAATACGAGTAACTCAAACTTCACAAAGTGCGATTATTTTGAACTTAAAATCATACGATCAAACGATACGGATCCCGTGGTTAGTAAGGACGAAGCGATTTGTCGAGAAACGGACTGGGAACAAGCGAAACGCGCCCAGTTCGACGAAGGTGGCGAAGGATCGTGGATGACGCGAGTGTCGTCAGGACAAATTTATGCTAATTCGAGAAACAACGTGGCAACAGAGAAACAATCGATAGTTCTCCCCTGGATATTTATGAACTCGTCGAAAGAACGGAGCAGGCGATCTCGAAGGAGGCGAGAGAATATTTATCGTCTATTCGGTGGCAGGCCGTGCTGCGCGACGCGAGTATAGAACGGCGACGGTTCGAAGTTTATTCGCGCGTGGTAGATCGACGGTGAGCATGCGCGCGTTCGGTTACGGGCTGGGATAAAGACGACCGCGGGAAAAAGAGAGGAAATCCGCGACACGTCGGAGATTTATGCGCGTGCGGCGAACGCACGCAACGGCTAACGAGCAGCACGAATTACGGGTAAAACAAACGGGAACGAAATTCGAAGGAGAAACGGTCGAACAGAGAACGTCGGAGGTGGGACGGGTAGAGAGAATAAGAAAAGGGGGAGGGGAGCAAGCTGGCGAGATACATGTTTGCAACATGTCGCGCGAATAAAGGCGGAGTGTACCGGGACGGATAAAGCGAGGACGAAACGAAGCGAGACGAAAGCTCGCGAGATTGGGAGAAAGGGAAAGAATTTCGCAATAGGTCGAAGTGACACGGTGGTAGAAATATAAATGGGTGAACAGCGTTACCCAAGGAAGGACAGCAGGGACAGGCTCGGTGCAGTGGCGCCGAAAGGAAAGGGCAAAAGCTTGGAAAGAAGCGAAGGTCCGAGTAGATAAAGCCGCATCGAAGGAGCGGCAAGAAGTAAAGGGAGACAGATTCCTCGGGCGCAAGGAGATCGAGAAAGCGAAAGACGAAAGACGCGAAAGAAGGAGAGGCAAACTGACGGGAGAGGGTACAAGGTAGACCGAGTGGACGAAGAGGGAGAAAGAAACGGACAAGAGACGGAGACGATAAAAAGAGCAACGGATAGGAAGAGGTGGCGAGGGAGATGGTGAAGCAGAGGGAGCACGAGAGAGCGGGAGGGGCAGAGAAAGAGAAAAAGAAAAAGCGAGAAAAAGAGAGAAGGAGCGAAAGGGAGGGAGAGTGGTCGACGGAAAACGGGTCCACGACTGGGTGGAGGAACTAGTCTTACCTAGTAGATTGCCCTGTCTCGGTTCTCGGTCCGTGCTTTTGCGGCCGTCCAAGGTAGGAGGGAACCTCCGAGCTCTCTGTTAAACGTAACCGAGCTAAGGAGGAGGCGGAAAAGAGAGGCGAGATCGAGTCGCGTAGTAGTCACACGTAATCCGTGTATCGTACATATATACGTAGATAGTAGCCAAGAGAGTCGCGTATATCCGTGGTTGGGAGGGCGGGCGGGAGGAAGGCGAGCGCGCACAGGGCCAGCCGATCGAGAAGAGAGAACGAGACGGAGAAACGACGAACAGGGACACGGAGCGGAGAGGACCGTGTGTACGTAGCATCG